TCGGCCTGGACAGGATGATGATTGAGACCGATGGACCTTGGTGCGAGATTAGACCGAGCCATTTCGGCTACAAGTATCTCATTGAGAAGAAGCCAGAGGTCAACGGCACCGCTAACGGCGCTGCTAACGGGACTGCAACTCCAGAAGCCCCAGCCCAGAAGCATCAGCCCAAAAAGAAAAATCAGAAGAAAGAACCCGAAGTGCCGGAGCGCTTCAAGGTTGTCAAGAAGGAGAAGTGGGAGGAAGGAGCCATGATCAAGGGTCGAAACGAGCCATGCATGATTGAGCGTGTAGCCAAAGCCGTGGCGGGTATCAAGGGAGTGGAGGTTGAGGACATCTGCGAAGCCGCTTGGAAAAATACTGTCAAGGTTTTTGGCGTAGAATAAAGCGTAGAGCACGGCATAGAATAATAGACCAGAAGACTTTCGAAGAAATCAATTAGGGGTATCAAAGTCACTGAAAGTACATGAGCAACGCGACGACTGCGACCTGCGAGAGCCTCCTGTCGGGGAAGATTTCATATGCCAGAGCCTTTATGGCCCCTGATCCTGCCATGCCGGACGGCCCCTACTGTGACCCCCTCTTCGCCAGTCAACCATCCCGGTACGCGCTCTCCGTCTATGATGCCGTTCTCCACAAGCTGCCGTATGCCCGCGAATACATGTGATCCGTGCAATGTGAGCTTCACGTTGGGGGCCCAAGTTGACGACTGTGTTCGGGTCCGATCTTCAGCACCTGACTCGGCTCGGGAGCTGTTACTAGGAAAAGGGTCCTCCATGACAATGTCCACTCGCTCGATACCCAATCCATCGTCAACTTTGGCCGTATCGCCGAATCTGGCCTGGGCACATAGGCGAGCTCTCTTATAAAACTTTTCGTCTGTCTCAGAGGCGCCAGCTTTCCGCTTGGTGTCCCTCTTTGCCGCCGAAGCCGAGGTGTCGTCTGCTGAATCTTCCGACAAAGGCGGCGTCGGTAAGATGGTGTCAAGTGGTGACTCGTTCTTCTTCTTGTCGGCATAAATGTCCCAGCCGCCACCTGCCGCGTTTGTTCGGCCAACGCCTCTGGATTGCAGCAGCGCAATGAGGTTCTTGGTCGTGATGTTTGTTGGTTTTAGTGTGTATCGTTCCCGCGGTCGAGAAAGAGCCTTTGGTATCCCTTCGACAACCAGGTTGCGAAAGCTTTTAGACTCGCTTGCTCCCAAGGACCCAATTGTCTGAGCTTTGGACAAATAGACGAACGGCGAAGCATCTGGAAAGGCGATATATAGAGTCCGTGAACTGTCGAAATCCGAATCGGATTGCGTAGAACCAGTTCCGAGTTGAGTCATGCTCGTGCTGTAAGGAGACTCGACCATGAAAATGCGCAAGACGGAGAGGGTAAATCCCTCGGGTCGGTGAAAATGAAAGTGAGCTTTGACGTCGGGCAATACGTGAGACTGAAGGTTTTGGATGAACGTGGATGGGTGGAACCGGGGAAGAGTCAAAGACGCAGTGTCGACTTCTGGAGCCTGCTCTTCATCATCCACGTATGAAGCCTCTTTGAGAGGCATGATACGGTATGCAGTCCATTTCTGCGACATAGGGTGGTCTTGAAGGTATTGGGCATCTGCCAACGCCATTTGGTATAGGGTCAGACCATGATTCCAATCGCCGTCGGTGATGCGATCAATGACCTCTCGTTTAGATCCTTTCCTAGACTGTAAATCCGCATAGATGGTCCGTAGCTCTTCTATCGATGACGCTGGAGGGTAGAGACCATCGTCATCATCCTCTTCGTCTAGTCTGGGCGCGCATAGTGGAACATTCTCATCACCAAGCCATTCGAGGACTAGAGACAGCAGAGATGAACGCGATAGGCGGCTGAGGGCTTTTTGAACGGAAGAGTTGCTGGGTGGTAGTCGTACTGTCGACGACAAGCGTCCTGTAGTTGGGATTGAGAAGCGTGCCATGGCTGTCAAAACATTGTGGTCGTCAGAAAACCTGGCAGTGTTTTGATGTATCTCGAGCGCACTGCACGGCACTTTTCCTGTAACTTGGCGAGTGGGGGAAAACGAAATGTCGCGATGCTTGAGCCACGGAGTTGTCGTCAACCACCCCGGTAGTTGAGGCTGAAGTATCTTAAGCGGAGAGAGGGCCTATTGTTGGTTGTTGAATCGTTGTAGAGCAAAGACGCGTCGCGTATCCGTACCATCAAAAACTCACATGCACTTGTGGTGCACGGAGCAAATGGTGCATACGGGGTCGGAGGGGCTTGCCGCTTACCGCAAACAAGGGGACACGGGCCACAACGGAGGGGCACGGAGCAGTGGCTCTGTGGGCGGCAGACGTTAAGGTTGAACAAGGGGAGGAAGGCAGGCCGCAGGGACGCTGACAGGATCGGAATGCTTAGGTAGGTAAGGTACCTACCTAAGGCAAGGCGAGACGGGTACGGGCTATGGGTGCCCGATCCGACCATGCGTGAGGGCGGGGCCTGAGGTAGAGAAAAGGCCGGCGGCCAAGGCACCCGTGGTACCCAGCCCGGAGCCTGCAAATGACGGGAGCAAGCTGCTGACAGCGGAGGTGTACGGAGTAGGGGATGTTGACGGCGACACGGACGGCGGGGTTCATGATGTTCTGGGACCGAGATGTGCCTTACCTAAGGCAGGTAGGTACCTTGGGTATCATACTAAGGTGAGATGCTCTGGTTGGCATTCAAACGTAACCTAAGACTAGTGTAGGCAGTACGCAGCAGGTAGGGCGTGGGCAGCGAACAAGACATGGATGAAGGGCAGATTACCTACCAGCCAGCGGGGCTGTGGTCCCCTCCCTGGCAGACGGCGGTCCTGGTCTGCGCGGTAAAGTCCCAGAAGCCTGAAGGAGAAAGTAATAGGTGCAGGATGCAGCGGCTGAGAGGCACGGTCGGACCTACTTACCGAACATGGCCGGTAGCGCTTCCGAGGGTCGGAGGGGTTGGCAGTTGCTTAGAAATTCAGATTTAAGGGTCCTTTCACAATGGAAGTGTAACAAGCCGTGGCACGATGCCATGCCCAGACACGCCAGAGGAAACACGGCAAGGTTGACACCAGAAACCCGCGACCATACCCAAACGAGATCAGCCGAGTCATGATGGACCCGGGTTCTCATCGTCAGCAACGAGCAACGTGGTTGGGAGTTGGGGTTTGGGCAATTAGGACTGCTGCTTGATTGTTTGATGACGGTAGCGCGGGTATTGCATTTACCGCCGGTATTTAGTACCGAAGCATTAATAATCTTCCACGAGCGATGCAAGCCACAGCGTAAGTGGACTCATGTGTGCGCACAAAACCTAGAATCTGTGTAATAACGTTTCGTCAATGGAATGTTTCTGTAACTCAATCCGAGAGAGGCCACATTGACTGACAACATCAGAATTTTCTCACTCCCAGAGATTGAACAATAACTACCGTAGGTACTCCGTACAGCGTGAAGGAATGCAAACCCAAGAAAGACAAATCTCGATCAACTAAAAATGCGACTTGAAGACGTCAATTGCCAACAGCCCAAAACGAGGGGCGTCGGAACACTGTCAGGCCAGAGATGCGCAATTGCCGCGGGGCTCTCAGAAGATTGGCCAAGCGATGATTCGTTCGCCAGCCATGGGTGAGTGATGACGGGTGGATGTCTACGGATACTGCGTACATCAACAGCAGTGGAGTGTGGGCTTTGTGGAGAGGGGCTCAAGATCGAGTGCTCATGCTTCCCGGTCATGGTTCCGGGACTTGGAAAGGGCGTGCTCGGAAAGAACCCAAGGCAGGTTATGAAGATACGGCAGTTCGGAATGTCCTATTGCTGTGACTTTGCTGTAATGCCACTCCCGGCCAAATGTAGAAGCTTAGCACATGTTGACTGGGCATCTCATAGATGATTGGCGGGTGGGACGTCAGATGGGGCACGTCCCCGTTCATCGGCGGGTGGGGGCTCACATTGCCCTTGCGGTACCGGGAACCTTCGGACCAAGGCAAAAATAGCGAGGCGCTTGCGGTATTCTGCACATGCAAATGGGTGAGGTGCTAATGATTCCGGTGTGATGTTTACCTCTTGCGTGCGAGAATCAGTGGAAGTGGTGGGAGAGGACGTGGGCGTAATTAAGCGTCGTGTGTGGGTGGAGGTTCCAGGCCTGAATGGCTAGCATATGCCTGGCGACTCACTCTCAGGTCTCCCGTTGATGGAAGTATCTCCCGTTTTTTGACGAGACATCTGCTGCTGGACCAGCCTGCAGCGGTACATAGGTAGGTACGCAGCAACGCAGATGCGTGGGGTGCGACGTGCCCTCTTGCAGGGAAATGAACAAGGCCGTCGGCCAATGGTCGGAGCCAACCAGCAGCGCGGAACACCCTTGGGGCATTGGGGCCCTTGGGGGGGGAGGGGCCCCTCCCTCGGGGGCACTGAAAGTCGCGCTGTCGGGTAAAGAAGTTGACTAATACTATCCACTCGGCCTGTGTCCGCAACCTGCCTCTCCGAACAAAGGCTTCACTCTCGCCCAATTTGACTCCTCTTCCCCCATCCCATCCACTCCTCCCTGAACCACCCAGCAGTCCAGCCAGAGACCGAGACGAACCTCGCGCTCGACAACCCAGACAGACAGCCGTTCAGGAGAACATCCGACCGACAGATTCGACCTCAACCGACCATCGCCAGGTCTCGTCTTACATCTACCCGATTCGACGTCAAATTTGCCCCTCCATCGTCGCCGACTTCACTGCCGAGCGAAACTTGAAATCGATCCCGGTCCTCGAACCGCGCGCATTTAATTCAACTTCGTTGGCGGCTCTACAACCAACGCGGCCACAACACTAACCCACTTAACGCCATCGCTGCCGTCCTCGACTCGACCTCAGGGACCCAGTCTTTGACAACCACAAAACAAATCGACACCCTCGTTCCGGAGTCGATTTGAAGGAGCCCGTTTGCTCTTCTGCCTCTCTGTTCTTTGGTTCCAACACCGCAGGCTTCGTAACCGAGAGCCTTCACCGGCCGAGCGACATGTCGCCTTACACAAGCACTGGTGGCGGGCGCGCGCCCAATGTGTCTCGCTATCTGCGTGACTTGAACACCGTCAAGGAGCCCGGTTCCGCTGAGGAGAACTTCACCTTCGAGGACGACCTCGCCATGTTCACAAACACCCAATTTTTCGACTTCGAGACTGGCCAGCACACCGACTACCAGGCACCGCCCAAAAAGACCGAGACCGCTGCCGTTGCTGAGCCCCAGGCTCCATCCAGCGCCGTCACCGAAGAATTGACATCTCCCATTGGCGACTTTGGCAACGTCGACTTTTCCCTGCCAGGTAAGAAGATGCTTTCTTCTCGTTTACTCGGAATTGGTGTATTGCCTTCTTTTTGTTCATGTTGAGGTATATGAGCTTGTTTGGGATTTGGTATGGATTTTTGGTTGCACATCAAAAGTTCTGGCCCAGTCACATCATCGTCATTCTCACTGCTTATCACCATACTCATCATCACACTCATCACTCACACACTATTTTTCCTTTCAACCATCTGCCACGTTACAGACAGCTATGGGCACAACCACTTGAGTATCGGGCGAATGGGAAACAGATGACGATTCACACCGTTCAAACATGAGTCAAGTGGCTCCTCTGAACTTTAACCTCCAGTTCTCATCAGCGATCAGCTCAACTTTCTCTCAGGGTCGCAGCCAAGCGCATGCGTCCGCCTTATCACCAGCCTTTTGAACCTGTCCTTTCTTACCCCACCCTGTTCATGCGCAGTCCATGTTTCATTCGGATGTCTTGATTGGGAGAAGCTGCCTGCTCTTATGCAGGTTGCCGGTGTGCGGTGTTGAGGGAGAGCCGCGACTCCAGATTGGAGCTTACAAATTGCCGGGGGATGGTGCAATATCCCGTGACTTTTCGTCATTCATCCTAGCAGGGATGCTTCGACCGTCTGGGCATCCGCCATCCGACACCGATTAAGCAAGTGCTATGGTTGATGGTCTTGTATCTCCAACATTTAGACTCGTCGATGCGGTTGTTCTTTCGATCAAGCGCTATCCGCCCCGTCTTTCCCCTCATTCCACCGTCTCGACGACGCCACGATGCCAGGAACTGATATCTCCTGCCTTGAATCATCCATCTGACCATGAACAATGACAGGCGAATTCAACTTTCACGATTTCACCAACCCCTACCCTGCCTCGGGCGTCCCGCCCTTCGCCGAAGGCCTGGGTAACCTTCAACCCCTCCAGCCTAACCCGCAACCTACCTACGCACCGCCTCCTGTATCTCAGCAGCACAATCACCACTATGCCGCTCCCACGCCTTCCGCCGCCGAGACCAGAACCCCTGAGTCTTTGAACGGAGTCAGCAGGCCCGGTCACAGCTTCGAGGAGCAGTCTCGCGTTGCCGCAGAGGAGGACAAGCGCCGGAGAAACACCGCTGCCAGCGCCAGGTTCCGCATTAAGAAGAAGCAGCGTGAGCAGGCTCTCGAGAAGAGCGCCAAGGAGATGTCGGACAAGGTCTCAGCTTTGGAGCAGCGCATCAACCTCCTCGAAACCGAGAACCGCTGGCTCAAGAACCTCGTCATGGAGAAGAACGAGGGTAGCGAGGACATTGCTTCTATGCTCAAGGAATTTCAGAACAAGCAAACCAAGACGACCGCGACATCTTCGGACTCTCTCAAGGCTGAGGAGGCAAAGTAGAAATGGGAAAACTTGGTCAACACTCGGGAGGAGGCACTATACTCTCTTCAGCTGACGCCTGTATGCAATGCGTTTCATGTTCAAGACATTGGGTTTTATTCTGGCACCAAATGGAGTTTGATACCGTGGCGGGACGAAGAGACATGCTGTGGGATGGGAGTCATGATAGGGGGGGTTAGAGGGGAGATGAACGGGCGGAACTATTGAGCGGCTTGTTTTTACTGATTGGCAACATGTGATGAGATTTTTACATGTATGTATACCTGCACGAACTCATGATCTGGGACGTGATAGAGTATATCACAGCAATGAATTATATGGATGGGTTTATCGACCCTAAGGCTACTGACTAAAGTCAACTCTAAATTAGTCTTTGTTCAACCAAAACTCCTCAAGCCCTTGTTCTCCCTCCAGCGTGTGTGCTCAGGATAGAGACAGGTTAGAAGGTCTCAACATCCCGCAACTCGAAGGCGTGCTCCCGCGGTCCCCATCAGGTAGAGTTCAACCACCCCAAGCCTGCACAGGCATCCCCTGGCCTCACCTGCTCTTGTGCCCATGACGGATCGGGGGGAGAAAGAGCCGCTGCTCGGCTCTACGTTCGTGTTCACTGGTGACCCCCGCGCTCTCCACTTCACCGCCGGCATGCCCCATTGACAAGAAAACAGCAAGAACTGATGGCCAAGCCGCCGCAAACTCGCGGGCCCCGTCCACGCCCAGGGCCCAGAGTCAGTCTCGGTGAGGTACGTAGCGCCATGTCTCGCCCATGGGAGGTTTAGTAGGTAGGCTGGAACGGAGACCCGAACAGTTCGTGGTTCGTTACAGGTACGGGGGACCCCATCAGTCCCATGGATCGGACTCTAGACTCCAGTCTCTAGAGAACGATGAAAAACTCAGAACCCGCTAATCCATAACGACATGGCCCCTCCGGAATGTGGTGGGCTGGGTGAAAGAGAGTAAGACGGATTATACGGCGTGGGATAGGACAGAGCGAGGGCTACGATGGCGAAACGGAAAATCCTGTCTGTTTTGGCCGAAGGGGCGGGCGCGGCGCGGCGGGCTCAGGACCAGGTAGGAGGAAGTAGGACGCCACGGCAGGACAAGACGGGATGCAGACTTTTTGGTTAAATGGAGACGATTCATTTCTTTTGGTGCTATCAACTGTGCAGTAGTTTTACGCAACCACTCGGCCTTACCATCCGAACCCTCGTCGATACTCTAACGGAGTCAAGGGGGGGAGGGATGGGTGATCCTCCTGCTATTGGAACTCCTATAGTACATCCACTTAATCATACAATATCTTTGACAAACTCTTTCCAGGCCATCTCACGGGTCTCTCCGAATGAAATGAGTCTCACCGAGAGGTACTTCGTGACGGATGTGAGTGAAGAGACGAAAGAAAAAAAAAGGGGGGGGAGTGTCTCTAAGGTGAGTGTATTTTTTTTCCCTCTCTCATCCCATCCTCACTTTCCAGCCTCGGCCCCGTTCTTGTCCTTCTCCCCCCTGAGCCCAGCAAGACGAAGCTGGTTCCTCTTACCCAAGATCCTCACCGTGTTGCGCCTCTCAATCTCCGTCATCTCGCCCCAGTTGCTGATTCGCGACATGGTGCCGTCCTGGTTGACGACCAGGGGGCCGAGGTGGTCCAGCTTGGTCGAGGCGTCGCCGCCGCTCATGTCGAGCGTGATGGTGTTGCTTCCGCTGCTGCTGCTGCCGCCCTCGCTGTTGTTGCCTCCTCCTCCTCCTCCACCACCATCCGCGGAGTTCCCGCCAGCAGACGACAACGTCTCGCCCTCGGGCAGCGGCGGCAAAGCCAGGGGTCCATCCCGCCGCTGAGCACCAGCGAGGCCCTGATCGTCGCCCTGGGAGTGAGGCTGGCGCTGGCTAGAGTCGGCGCCACTGGTGTTGGGACTGGCCTCCGCGGGGGCGTTTGATGTCGTTTTTTTAGGGGCCGGTGACGTGCTTTCCGTGGGGTGGTGCTCTCGGTGGCTACCGGTACCACCACCGCTGTTCAGGTTCCTCTCTTCACCTTCACCTTGTCCTGCAGCCGTCCACATTGTCGTCGACTGAGGGCCCGATGATGTGCTCATCCTGCTTTTGAACGTCAACCTCCTCGTCGACGTCGTCGCGATGGCGGCGGCGGCGGCGGTCAGCGCGGGTGACGGTCCGAATGATTGGGGGGTTGAGAGTCGGAGAGGCGCGTACAGACGTGGGATGTAGCCGAACGGTGATCTCATTTGGGTAATGTCTTGCGTAAATGGTTTCGTTTCTGGTATGGTAATTGCAGCGAGGGTTTGAGCCTTTGGAAACCGAGGTCGGGGGGGTTCGAACTTTGAGAGGGTTTGTTGGTGACTTGTGGTGAGTTTATTGACGATGTTCAAAGTGAGAGTGAGGTGGGTCCCCCGCTTGGCGTTGGAATTGCCAAAAGTATCTGCTCGTAATTTCCAGAACCGGTCGGCGTTCCTCCTTCACTTTTGTCTTGTTTAATCATTTCAACAGCCTGCACCACCAAATTGGACGGCAAACCCGTCTGCCACTCTATGCATCATCTCTTTCTCTCTCTCTATCAATCACTATTACTATATCATATTAGCTGGGATCTCTCTAAGCATTCTCTCTGCTTGAAGCACGGTGATAAAGAATGTGGCTTAGGATATATCAGCCGTGGCTTATTTTGTCATATACTTGCGGGCGTACCGGCCGACACATCGTAACTTGGTCATATCCCCCCACGCACATGGACCAATGTTGCAATTTGGCTACGTCTCATTGAAAGGAAACATTTTGTCTATGTCTATTACTTTATCACTCACTAATGTGGAAGGTGGTACATGAACCTCGTCCGATGGCGTGAGCCATACTACCTTCGTCTAGGGCAACTTACGGCCCGCCTCTAAGAGACATCTAATTCAGAAAGCCTTCCGTGGGGTATCAGGTATCGGCTTGCGCCATCGACAACCCTCGTGAGAGGGCTTGGAAACTGATTCTATCCTCCCAAACGCCATTGATGCCCGAAATCACTAACAAAGGAGAGAAAGGCATGCAGCTGGCCATTCTTAGCGACGGCTTTCGCCACTTGTACGACGACGGTCGAGACGTCTGACGACCGCGCCGAGAACGACCTTGAGGATGTTGTCTGCCGTGAGCATGCCGCGGATACCGTTTTCCCAGGTAACAGTGTCGACCATGTCTCGAAGATCGCCGTCACATCTGCCGACAAGGTCGTCGTCGAGCTCCCGGAGCGCCTCGCGGGCACCAGGCTCGTTGCCAACCTGGAAGAATTGCACACCGACCTGATGCATGGGAGCGTCGAGCTTGTCGAGCTTTTTGGCTGCGTAGAGGATGGTGGCCTCGACGTCATCGGAGGGGGCGCCGTCGGTGATGACGATGAGGTTGATGGGCTTGACGCTCTCGATGTCGTTCTTCTTAGTCTCGAGGAGCTGAAGATAAGGCTTGAGAATGGCGAGGAGGCGCTGACCCGTAGGCGTGCAGCCGCGAGGACGAACCGATGTGAAGATGCCCTCAACCGTGTCGGCACGACGGATGCCGTAGTAGCCGCCCGCGGCTTTACCTTCACGAGGACTTCCACCCGCCTGGGTCTTGTGGTTGAGGAAGTAGAGGTCAACGCCGTCCTTGTCATGTGCCGTGCAGACCGGAGCGATGTTGCGGATTACACCCTGGACCTCAGGCCACGAGCGGCCAGACATGGACCCCGAATCGTCAATAACGAAGATGGTGTCGAAGGAGGAAAGGAATGCGTAGGGGTCCTCTGGCGTCGAAACGCTCATGCCAGCGCTCGACATGATGGAACCGGCGGTGGATGGGGCGGGCGAGGGGCTTCTAACAGGTCCGCCATTGCTTCCCAGGTAGCCATTTTCCGACGGAGAGGGTGGTGTTACTGAGTAAGCTGGAGGAGCATGGTCGGGAGCTGGAGGCTTCTTAGCGCTTTTGGTCGGAGACGGAGGAGTAACGATGATTTTGGGTAGAGACTCACGATTGGCGGGTTTGACCGCAGGGCTTGAAAAGGGATTGTTGCTGCCGGGTGTAGACACGTTCGACTGAGATGCCTGCTTGGACTTGCGAGAAGATGATGACTTGCGGCCAAGCTTCTGCTTGAAGGCTCCGAAGATAGACATGCTGATCTCAGGTTTCTCGCTCACGGCGTAAGGGTTTGTGGAGGGGAAAGAATCGCCGAGGTAAGGCATTGTGAAGGAGGACTGCTGCTGCCGCAGTGAAGTTGATATAAGTGTCAAAGTGGGGCAGGAGCCGTCGGGGAAGGCGATGTGATTATTCTTTCTCGAAGGGAAGTTTGCGGTAAAACAGAAGGGTCCGAAACTTTGACTTGTTGGAATATGCTATTCAGTCAATATTATGGGCCACAAAGGTGTAATGTCAAGTTGTCAGGTGAGTTGGTACTGCTCAAGTCTTTGTTGTTGTCGACAATGGTTTGGGTTTCATGGGTATGCTGAGTTACTTCAAACCAGTCATCTTATATTGATTCTACTCAATGCCTCTTATCAAAGCTCTCGGAGCCTTGACAAAGTAATCTGCCTGGTCATTCTGCCTCAGTTGAAGTTGAATTATCGCTTTGACTAGTTTCTTTTGAGGGACTATGATCTTTGAGCCTCCCTGGGGCATTGCTCTCGTGACTGCGGAAGGGCTTATTGGGTGAAGTCACAACCGCAATCTGATTGGCCAGGAGCTCGCCGCAGCCACATAGGCTTTTTTGCACCGCCATGCTCCGCCTTCTTTTCAATGTTCAGGCTTGAGGAAAGTGCGCCTGATAGAAGGCACGTGGTTCGCCTCTCTGGGAAAAAATTGAGGACCTGAGTCCCTGGATGCCTTGAATCTGAATAATGCCAAACATGAAGCATCATAATTTGTCTACCCGGGTTTTTGGGATCGCATCGCGGCTTGGCGGGGAAAGAGAAGACAAACGACCACGTGACTTTGCTGACTGTTTTCGTCCGTCCTGCGTCTTCGGCCGTCCTCCGTTCTCCAAGGGGCCGCGACGAACGGGGTCAAGATGACGCTAAGGTCTCGGCACACGGGATACAGCGAACTATGCACTCGCCGTCGCCGGTTTCGTGAGTTTCTGCCACCCGTTGTCGACTTTCAAGGTTATTGATACTGGACTGTGCTCTCCCTCAGATGCGTCATTGCTGAATGTCCATTCGTCCACAGAAAGTGGCTCAATTTTTTTTGGTCATAGCCAAATGATTCAGCTGGTTGACTTCTTGAAATACTTCAATCGCTCTCTGACCTAGAAATACCGTCAAATTCGATGTTCGGGTGCGCCGGCCCACGACGACAACACAAGCGCCCTGAATGTCCCGGCAAGTCGCGTTCGGGACCCGCCCTTGGCTACCAGGCTTATCTTTAATGATTGGGCCGGGCGTTCAGCAACGCCGAGATGCTGTGCACCATCCACCTTGTGTGTCATTGATAACTTGATCCTCACGATAAATCGAGATAACCTGCCCTTTGCTAGACTCTGGAGAAGGCCTGGCGAGGGCCGGTCCCCCCCAGAAGTTAGGCCCTCACGGCCCTCAATCCGGGACGGGAGACGGCTACCTGCATTGATTGGGCACGAATCGCATTCGCAACTGGGTACGGGGCAGGCCGCGATGCGGAGATCCGCTTTGGAGCAGGACACTGGCTCTAGACACCGCTTTTTTTACGTACTGTGGTAGTACCAACCCGAATCGTTGACGTTGGCGAGGGAGAACGAGGGGCAGAGGAGGGGCAATTTCCGGGCACAGAAACGCGCTGGCGTTGCGTTTCTCGATAATGAGTGTACTCGCGAAACATAGCACTGTCCACTACGCTGCGTTCACTCTTGTCACCGAATCTGTCCCCAATGCTAGATCGACGATCCGGGACTCATCTGGCTCTGGCCTGAAGACGGCACAAGCGGCACGGATTCGGCGCGGACTATACTGAGACTGGCTCTGGCTGTAGACTCAAACACTGTTTGCTGCTATTGTCCTTTCAGGACCTGTTTTTGACCCCCGTCGCCCTGCGACACTCGGCGACCATCCGCCCAACTTCGTCAAGTGACAGTCCCACGTTCATCTTCAAGAAGGAAGAAATCGGTTTCCTGGCCTATCAGCGTCCCTATCGCATTCTGAACACCCCACATCTGGAAGAGCCTGCATGGGAGCTGCATTCTTGACCTGCAGGGATTCCCAAGCCAACGTCAGGACCCAAGTGCCGGTGAAGAGAAGCCTTCCAGTTCGTAGCTTGCCCGTATAAGACGTTTTCTGTGCCCCTCGCTGCCTCATCTTGAAAAGGTGAAGAGCCCTTTTTTCCCCCTTTTGCATTTAGCTTCACCCTTCCCGCACCTGCACTTTTCCTTCCTCACCTTCCCCAGATTTTCCCAGCCAGGTGATATCGGAGAAACCTCTTTCACCGACGATAAAACTCTTTCCCTCCTTTCAATCGCAGCTTCCGGTGCCCAGCTGTTGATACCTCCCACCGTCACTTCCAGAACAAAGCCCACCCGCATTCATCGGCTGCGCACAACAAGGCAATATGTTCAGCAATCGCAAGTTCTCCATCAACCGGCACACCGGTGTGCCCAAGCCGAGACGCTTCAGTGTCGGCGAGGTTGGAGGCAACGGTAAGAGCGAAAACCCTTTCCTCATTTCTTTACTATGCACATGCCACTCCAGCTATCCAAGCGATACATACCTATATCTCCTCGACATGTCATGGCTTCAACCAAGCTACCTGCAGATACGCACAACAGAAAGGGTGGGAGAAAAGCTTGTTGTCGAGCTGTGATGTTGAGTGCGGGGTAGGAGCTGAGCAGAGTTGCCCCTCGTTCTCCACACAGCTCCAACTCAAGCTCGATGTCATTCTTGGCGTTCCAATTGGTGTCATTGGCCATGATAGCTTCACCACAAGAAAAAGAATAATGCTGACATACTCCATCAGAGGTCCAGTCAAAGACTCACAGACAATTCCGCAATGCCCACGAAGGCCACCAGCCCCACGCCGGTCTCGATGCCAGCCGTGCCTCCACTGGTGTCGTTTGGTGTACTGAGCGTGCCTCCGAGTACGGTTTTCTCGAGGAGCCCGATGCTTGGGCCAACTTGGGCCAGGGTGCCCCCGAAGTTGAGGATGACATTGCTGGCTGCTTCCCCCGTCCTACCACCATCGATATCTCCATGGCCGGTCGCGAGTATGGCCCTACTGCCGGTATCAGAGAACTCCGTGAGGCTGTTGCCAACCTCTATAACGTCATGCACCGCGAGGGCAAGGACAGCAAATACACTTGGGAGAACGTCGCAATTGTCCCTGGTGGTCGTGCCGGTCTGATTCGTATCGCTGCCGTTCTTGGAAACTCTTACCTCTCTTTCTTCTTGCCCGATTACACGGCGTACAACGAGATGTTGTCTCTCTTCAAGAACGTACGTCTCTATCTCTGAGTTTGAAGCATGAAACAATGCATAGCATCTGACACTGGGTACTTAGTTCTCCGCCATTCCTGTTCCTCTCGCCGAGGAGGACGGCTACCATATCCACCCCGACCGCATCGCCGAGGAGATCTCCCGTGGATCCTCTGTCATTCTGACCTCGAACCCCCGTAACCCCACCGGCCGTGTCGTTGCAAACCCCGAGTTGGCCGAGATCCAGGATATTTGCCGTGGCCGCGCCACCTTTGTCAGCGACGAGTTCTACTCTGGCTACAACTATACGAGCAATTGTGACGGTAGCACCATTTCTGCTGCTGAGAACGTCGAGGATGTCGACGAGGATGATGTTCTCATCATTGACGGCTTGACCAAGCGCTTCAGACTGCCCGGCTGGCGTGTTGCGTGGATTCTTGGTCCCAAGGGTGCGTAATGGATATCTATGAACTTGACGAACCACTTACTAACATGGCTTCGCAGAATACATCAAGGCGTGAGTTTCCCCCCACGGGTCTACACAATGGTGGCCATGAGATTGGAACGGGGGATTGAGACACTGACACATCTTTAGCATTGGCTCTTGCGGTAGCTACCTCGACGGTGGTGCCAACCATCCCTTCCAGGAGGCGGCGATCCCCATGCTTGACCCTACTCTCGTCAAGACGGAGATGATCTCCTTGCAGAAGCACTTCCGCGTAAGTCCATTGAGCGAGAGACTTTGAGTTTAACATCTTCTGACAAAGTAAATAGGACAAGCGCGACTATGTCGTTCGCAGACTCCGCGAGATGGGATTCATCATCAAATACGTCCCTGACTCCACTTTCTACCTGTAAGTTGCTGTCGTTGAAAGGAACGTGGGTGAGCGCCAATACTGACATCCTCCAGCTGGCTCAACCTTGAGGGTCTCCCTGAGGCCATTGCCGACGGTCTCAACTTCTTCCAGGCCTGTCTTGAAGAGAAGGTCATCGTCGTGCCTGGTATCTTCTTCGACCTAAATCCCTCCAGACGTCGTGATCTCTTCGACAGCCCTTGCCACCACTTCGTCCGTTTCTCCTACGGCCCCAAGATGGAGACCCTAAAGAAGGGATGCGACGGTATCGAGCGTGTCGTCAACAAGTTCCGCAAGTCGTCCGACTAGAGGTTTTATAGTAGTTCCTAGGATAGAGGTTTGGATGGAGTTGGAAACGGCCGACTCACGACAGATGAAGATCAGATACCCTAGTCTTCATTGCTTGAATGTACACACGAAGACAGCACAGCTGATGCCGAACAGACCAATACGCCAGTAGAGCGTGTTACCATCAATGAATTATCGCAACATACCAAACGTCTTCTCCAATTGCCAGTGACTTGATAGCTGCGATGCAAACTGAATCTCCATGTTACTTACTTTCAGTGCGATAAGCCAGCTATAGCAGCGTTAGGCACCTGACTAACGCTATGCCTAGCTTTCTTTCGTGGAGGCCTGGTTCACATTTCCTTTTCACCATCATTTAGGGAACCAAGATTTTTACAATACTTTTACGGTTTTTTTTTGTACTTTTCTATCGCCAATTTTCTCTGAGCCAGATCCAGACCCTCGGCCGCGACACATCTATCCTCGAAATTTAGCTAGAAAACTTCAGTGACCAGTGTAGCTAGCCAAGGGCATTCCCCCCTGGAAACAAAAAAGGGATAAAGAAAAGCAAATGAGTTTTTTGTGATTTTGTCGTTTTGTCGCAAGTGCCGATCTCGAAACCAGTTTCTGCGTATCCATCCCCAATCTTCCGAGATGTTCCAAATGTCT